CAGGAAAATGAAAAAAATGTAAAAACCAAACCACCTCTAGCCCAAGGATGAGAAAGGAGTGGAGTGGAGTTGGGAAAGGCTCTCCCTGCTTCTTTGTCACATAAGTGGTAAGTGAGCAGCTTTCCAAAGGACCAGGTGGGGGTGCAGAAGTAGAGAAAAGGGCTACGTACGCACTGTTAATTACTGAAAGCATACAGCGAGTGATGGGGTTCTTTACACATTACTTTCCTGTTTTACATTTTCTCATGTAAAACGCTTTTTATAAAGTAGCCTATAGTGTCACAAGTCAGGGGTTTGGGTGTGTACCAAGAAAGCGAGACACAACCCGGCCTCCGGAGCGTGAAGAATGCTCCATGTCCTATGCGGCTGTGCTCACTTTGTGGTAATTCACTGCATATGATCTGTGCATCTTTTGGAATGTACAAGGCAATGCAACAAACAACTTTCAGGAAAAGAGAAACGCAGCATTTCAACGCTCAAGGACTCCAGGCACCGCGCAAGCAGCCTCTCCAGGGCCGGCGGGCGGCGCCAAAGACGCCACACCGGCTGCCGCACCAATGGGGGCCACAGGAGTAAATGCCTCATATCGGCCCTACTCCCTCCTCCAATCAGCGAGCCCGACACGAGCACCTCACGGCCCGCCCATCCCGATGTCCAATCACCGCGCTCCACATGAGCGCGCGCTCCCTGATAGATCCGTGCCCAGCGCAGAAGAAAGACCATTTCTCGCAAGGACCACACTGCCATCTACTGCCTGGTCAGCGGGGATGCAGCCACAGGAGCACCAGGAGCAGGCAGCAGGCAGCTTCCCTGCAAGCACTCATGCCACACAGAAATATATGCTTGTATGAACCAGAGGCGACAGCAGTTACTTTCTGTTACACAATGGGAAAATAGAGTCTTCAAGCAGTCTGAATATCAAACTTCATTTCACATCAAATATTACATACAGGGTCCAACCAGGGACTCATTTCATTTGATCCCAGCACTCAGGAGGCAGAGGCAATCGGATCTCTGAGTTTAAGATTGCTAGCCTGATGTACAGTGTAAGTTCCAGGACAGTCTGGGCTACACAAAGAAACCCTTTCTCAAAAAAAAAAAAAAAGGTAGGAGGCAGAGGGCAACAATGACTTGGAGGTGTTCAGTAAACACTGATTGAATCTGCTTTTTTAAGTATTGCTCTTAACAAAGAAGAGACAATTGCCCCAGTGATATTTATGTCACAGACTATCATCCTCATTCTTTGGCAAACAACTTGTTTATTCATGTAGCCAGGACAAAGATCCCTGGATTTGTGTTCATATAATAGATCTAACTACCTAACACAAGACACAAACAGTGGCTATCTCCATTTCCTCATCTTTTCTTCATACCTAGTAAAATGTTTAAAAAGCTTTCCCAGAATGCACCATTCCTCTATTTGTATTTCTATAGCATGTGGATAATTCATGTATGGCACAAGAAAACAATTTTTGCTATGTAATTATTTGAAGCTACATTGGAATTATGACTAGTATCGTGGCTTCTAAAGAAGTGAAGAACTGACTTCAGAGGGCGTCTTAGCATATGTGTAGGTTATTTATGGCTTTCACAATGACTGGAAGGCATAGCTAGTACTTTTTGGAAAGAAGACACAGAACTGGTATAGCATGCAAAGCTGTGACTCTCCCCACAAAATCCTGCCTCTGCCTGGAGCCTAGATCTAAGCATAGAAGGGAGATCACAGCAAGGCCAGTGAAAAACCCATGCAGATGGATGGAGAGCAGAGGTACTGGTGTGAAACTTAGTATTTCTGGGTAAGGATCAAGCAGCATTGAACACCCAGATCTTGCTTCTAATATCACTCCCCACTAAAAGGAATGAGAGTTCCCAAGAGGGGGCTGAGTCCAGGGCTAGGGAAGGGAATGTACAAGATAACCCTACAACACACTATTAAGTGAGTAAGAAGCAAGTGATGAGAATGAGAACACGGAAGCTAACTGGAAAGCACTTATACTAGCCAGGCAGGCATGGGACACTGACTTTCAAGTAATGATAGCAATGAACCATTAAAAAAAATCCCACAAATCCACAAAATGTCAACATAATGCATGACAGATAAATGAGAAACACAACAGGAAGCAAGGTCTGTTGCTTAAGGAGAACACTGAGTGTTAACCAGTAAGTATGGAGGGGTTGTAGGATTTAGAAAATCATCGCTTTGCAGCCTTCACAGTACAGACTGACTCAGGCCAGAAGCATGAATGGGGGAAAAAAGTCTAAGGGCAAACTTGAGAAGCAGCAGGAAATCATCATTATGTTAAGTGTCTCCCTACTTACAGGAGGAAAACCAGTCAAAATTGCAGGGGGGAGAAATCAGATGCTCATGATGACAAGACGGAAGCTGGCGCGGCTAGTGGAAGCATACAGACATCACTGTGTCCAGATGACACGCCCTGACAGAGCCACAACATCACGTAATAGCCTGGCTGGGGAGGCAAAACTGGAACCTACCATAAAGAAGGTAAGAACAGGGCAGGGTGGGTGGAGAGATGGATGGAGGCTGGAGAGATGGCTCATTGGCTAAGAGCACTGGCTGTTCTTCCAGAGGACCCAGATTTAATTCCCAGCACCCACATGGCAACTCACAACTGTAACTCCTGTCCTATGGGATCTGACACCCTCACATAGACATATATGCAAGCAAAACACTAAGGCACATAAACTAAAAATAAATAAATTATTTGAAAAAAGGAAAAATAACAGCATAAGAAATAAGAAAGGATAAGAAATAACTTCAGGCCGGTTGTTAGTGGTGCACGCCTTTAATCCCAGCACTCGGGAGGCAGAGGCAGGCGGATCTCTGTGAGTTCGAGGCCAGCCTGGTCTCCAGAGTGAGTTCCAGGATAGGCTCCAAAGCTACACAGAGAAACCCTATCTCAAAAAACCAAAAACAAAAAGAACAAAAAAAAAAAAAAAGAAATAACTTCAAATTAAAGAAGACATGATTTAAATGCCATGTGAATGGATGATTCTTGTATTAGAGAAGGAAAAAATGTGATAAAAGACATTTTTAGAGTCAAATGACAAAAAAAAAAGCATTAACCAATGAACTCCACAAATATGCTATGGCATATAATATGTTGGGTAATGCATGCTGAAGAATTTAAGATAAGAGGACTATAATGCATGAAGCAAACTCTAAGATAATTAAAAAAAATAGCATGTGCACACCTCTCTGAAAGGGACACAATAGGTTTTCCACACACAGGCTCTCGAATGCTCTCACCACAAAATGAGAAAGCAAAAACAAATACACCCAAAATGGTAACAAAAAGTGAATATGGGCAAAGGGTAAGGAGGAACTTGCTAATTTTCTTTGAGTTGAAATCACTTTCAGGGGCTAGGACACAACTCAGTAAGAGTGCTTGATGCACATGCATGAAAACTGAGTGTGAACCCCCATCACCCATATAAAAAGCCCCAAATGGCCTATTAACCCCATTACTGGGGGGGGGGGGTTTGGGGTACTTACTGATGGGAAGCTTGCTTAGATTTGTTGGCAGCCAACTCACCTCCAAGTTAAGTGAGAGACATTTTTACTACTTAAAAACCTGCTTCTAATTAATGGAACTAATTTCATTTTACACATAAACACAAAGTACTTCTTCCATAATTAAAGATAAATTGCATTTCAATGCAAACTGACTAAAGACATACTTTTGAGTCATCCAGAGCTTTACCAAAAACTGTTCATTTTATAAATAAAATTGTCATTCTACAGCCACTTGCCATGTCTGATTTCGCTGTATCATCTTTGACCATGCCCATTGTCCTTTATGTCAGTGGCTATGCACTCAAGAATGCAAGCATGTAGCTACTTCTGACTCCTCAGTAAGGCCTAAATAGCTCATTACATTTTGAAACACTACTATACACCAAATCATTTCATTTTTGTTTCTTTTTTACATCATGGTAATTATATAAATTTAAAAGTATTATGAGGAGAAACATTATATTAGCTTTGAATTTAATTTCAAGACACTGTATAGTGCTGATTTAACCCTTTAAAGCAAGAGTCAGACTGTAAACTCCCTATGGAGGGCTTGATCACTCACTTTCACCCCTACCCAGTGGCTGGCCCCATCCACACACCCATTCCAGAGCTGCTGGCTAACTCTGCAACTCACATTCTCAGGGAAGACCATGATTATTCTGAAACATCCAAAAGGTAGCCAGAACTGTCATCTACGTCCCTGCATTTGTGAAGACTCATCACAAAGAGGGCTTCGCTCTTATCTAACATAAGCACAAGGGTGGGGTGATGTTAGGTCAGCCGTGGAATCCACGCGCTCAGCAGCAGTCTCATAACACACTCCGATCTATCTATTCACTCGGCAGTGTCCTGACCATGTTCTATGTATTACAGCACAGTCAGAAGTGTGCTAGTCCATTTGCAAAACGCGCTTGTGGGGTCAGTGACTTCTTTTACGCCCTGATAACGTACACAAGAAAGGCCACTGTCTGTGAGCTGTGACAAAGGAAGAAGGGGAATAGGCGGTAAGCATGAGTGTACTCCTGGGAAGACACTCACTGTCATTTCACGGCTTCCATGAAAAATTTCCATGGCAAATTAGCTTCCAGATATGTCACTTGGTAATGATATATAAGTTAAGAAAATAATGGGATTGAAAATTAAAAAAAAAGTACAAAGTATAAAATTCTGTAAAATAGAGACAGGCTCCATGAAACTGCGTGATACAATGAATGAAAAGCAAGAAAGGCTTACATAACCTCAGTAGTGTGATCATCAAAGCAAATAATCAATAAGACAGTATGAGGAATGTAGGGGGCAGCAAAGGTGATTCTGCCATGTGTGAGCATAATTCTTTTCAGGATTTAAAATGTAGTTCTGTAAGCTGAGTCATCATAAAAGTATCTTTTCATGTATGCTTCATGTGAGCACATGATGTGAGACAGGTGGAGTGACAGCAAATGACAGAATACGAGGCCACACCTACCCAGGTGGCACCGCTCCTTCTCTCTTGCTTCCCACTGGTGGCTGTCCGTGTACGCTGCGGAAAGGAGGCATCTTTTACCTGAGGGAAAACACAATCATCTCAACAGGCATGTTGTTTAAAAGATCTGCTTTACTGAATACGACTTCTGTTGTATTTACAACCTCTAGCTTATGTATTTTTAAAATTCTAACGTGAGTACTGCACAGTTCACAACAAAATGCAAAAAAAAAAATCTGAAAAAGTCTTCAGCAGTTTTATAGATAAAAATGCTGGTCGTTTTAACCTATTAATGTTAAAACTGAAAGGCATTTATACAATTAAATTACAGCCCAGGTTTTCAGGGTCTTAAAAATCCTTCATAGACCCCAAATAACCTGCTGAACTATTGCAAAGTCATTAACTAGATGTGTTATAGTTATCAACCCTGAAAACATTTTTATTTGATTCTGATTAGCATATTTACCCTTGTTTTGCATAAAGAAAGAAAAGTATCATATCAATGACCCATAGCCCCATGAGGAGATGAAACTTGAAAGCTAAGCTGGAACCATCACACAGGTGACAGAGCTAGATTCCTGGTGGCTGGCACAGTGCCTGACATCAACAGTACTCAATGAACACTCAATACACATAACATCCTAGAATAAATAAGAAAGACCTGAGGACAGTCTCAACCAAAGTAAAACCTCCCACACCTAAAAGGATACTTGCAGTAAATGATAGAATAATCTACAACATGGAGAAAAATAAGTAACTGCATCAGGAACATAAAATGTCTTTACAACTTAATAATATAAAATAACCCAACTGAAAAGTAGGCAAAGGATTTGAGCAGAAATACTGCAAAAAAAAAAAAAAAAAAGGGGGTGGGAGGTGGGGTGGGAGGAGAGGAAATATTCTGGGCTTGGTAACACAAGTTTAATCCCAGCCACTGATGCTTCTCTGGCCTCCACATATGCTTCTCTGGCTCCACAGCATATATATGTTCCCCTCCCCTACAAAGAAAATAAATAAATGTAATTAAAAATTTTAATAGTACAAAAGGGGCTGGCGCTATTACTCATAGAGTGCTAACCCAGAATATGTGAGTCTTGTATTCAATTCCCAATACCACACACACACTCATACACACACATGCATACACACACACTCTCTCATAGTACACACACTCACACACACACACACACACACACACACACACACACACACACACACACACAAATTATTCCTTCATTTCTGAGGAGTTAGTTCCAGATTTCCCATGGACACACAAAAAGTCCTAACATAAAATGACATTTAAAAAAAAACTGACATAAAGTGATGCAGAATTTGAATATAACTGAGGCACACCTTTCTAAATTTTTAAAATTTCTGTTACATTACTTATAAAACTTAATTCCATGAAAACCAAGTAAAAAGCTGTTTTGTTTGATTATTTAGAGAATAGTGACAAGAAAGGAAAAAAAAACTATCTTCAGTGCAAGTGTAATTTTTTTTTAAAGTACTTATGATTTGGGGTTAACTGAATTAAGAAAAATGCAGAACCTGTGACTATGAACAGTTGAATACATGTACACATACACACACACATGCATGCAGGAACAAGCAAAGATTATATCATCACTGGCCAGTGGGAAAATACAAAGAAAAGCTGTCTTCTATGAAGATCACAATCATAAAGCAGAAAATATAGTTATGGGTGAAAACAAAACTTTATACATCAATGGTGAAACTATACTGTGGTGAAAGTGATTGGGAAAACAAGCAGTGCCCCAAGTGGTATCACAATTACCAAGTGACCTAGTTATTCTACTCCTAGGTAGACATAAGAATGAAAACTTAAATTTGCATCAAATTTACATACCAGTGTTCACCGAAGTATTGTTAATAATGGATAAAAAGCAGAAGTACCTGAACTATCAACAGGTTATATACCAAGACTTGATACATTATTATAATGGGACATTATTTAGCAATTTAAAAGTAAGAATCTTGAAAATATTATGTTAAGTGAAAAGATATCAGTCTCAAAGAGCACATATTATATCCCACTCCAATGAAATATCAGAATAGGCGAATGTAGAGAGGAAGTAGGTTACTTGTTGCCTACAACTGGCAATGGGGTCTGGGAAAGTGAGAGTAATTGGTATTAGATACAGATTTCTTTGGGGTGTGATAAAAATATCCTAAGTTGGTTGTAAAGATGTTGCACAGCTCCGTGTTTCTACTAAAAGTCAGAACTGCGTACTTTCAATGAGTGAGTTGTATGGCATGTGAATTCTATGTCAAATGAAGGGAAAGAACAACTCCAAAATAAATGGCAGCTACCCAGAGATCATAACAGAGCACACAGGCATTACAACCTGAGTTTTACATAGGTGGAGAATGACTGAAAATGACATTGACCACTTCTAGCCTCTACATACATGCACACATACAAGCATGTGCTCAGAAGCATGCATACACACAACACACACACTTTTTTAAAAATAAAATAAAACAGCACACTCATCTTTCTATGATGCTTTATGGATGTCACAAAGCTCTTTCCATCACTACACACTAGGAGTCTATATATTAATGTTACAACCAAAGAATTTCTACAGCCAGTGGTAAAAGATTAAATGAAGCCAACCAAAAGCAACATGGAAGATCTAGACTCTCAAACTTTAGAATGCATATGAATCTCATTAAAATTCGGACAGTTTTGTAGGTCTAGAGTGAAGACCGATTCTGCAATGAAAGTCCTCAGACCACATTTGAATGAGTAAAGAAGACAGACTTCAGACTCACAGGCTTAGTGCTCAACCTGTCCAATCCCTCTCTACACATGCCACTCAAAATGTTTACTTAGCCAAACTGAGGCAAAAGTGGAAGTATTTGCAAGTTCAAGGACAACCTGCCCTATGTAGAGTTTCAAGCCAACCAACCCAACATAGTGAGACTCTATCTCAAAGAACTAGAGTGTTTACAATTTTCCCATGCTTTCCCTTGAGCAACAATATTCTTTAAAATAAGTATCCTTAATAAAAAGAAATGTTTTGTCCATTGACTACTATAATACTTTTAAGGACAAAAATTTTGTTTGTTTGTTTGTTTGTCTATTTATTTAGAGACAGGATTTCTCTGTATCCACCCTAGCTGTCCTGGAACTTACTTTGTAGACCAGGGTGGCCTTGAACTCCACCTACTTCTGCCTCCCAGGTGCTTGGATTAAAGGTGTGTGCCTCCATGCCTGGCTCATTATTTGGGCCTTTAATCAAATGTCTCCAAGTGGTTTTTGTTGTTGTTGAAAAAAGGAAATAATGCCAGGCATTGGTGGTGCACGCCTTTAGTCCCAGCACTCAGGAGGGAGACACAAGTGGATCTCTGTGAGTTCAAGACTACCCTAGTTTACAAGAGCTACTTCCAGGACAGCCCCCAAAGCCACAGAGAAACCCTGTCTCGGAAAAAGGAAAAAAAAAAAAAAGAAAGAAAGAAAAAGAAAAAGGAAATAATGTGATTGTGGAAATAGACAAGCTTTAGAGTCACAATTTAACTTCTAACTCTTGCCTTGCCAATAATAAAAGCTCTGAATACTGGTCAAATCACACAGTACCTCTGAGTATCTTTCATCATACACAGAATGAAGGAATACTACCTATCTCAGCATGGTAGTTAAGGTCTCACTAGTGAATTGATGTCTACTAAACAATGGTAGTAAGCTTCCTTCCTCTATCCTTTCCATATACTCTTCTTTGTTCTTGTTCTATCTCAGTTAATTTTTCTTCCATCTTTTTGATCATTTTAGCTATATTTTCATCATATTTTAAGTAGACTAGGTGAAAGTCTCATAGTGTTGCATATACTGACTGATTTGTTACAAATTTGTACAAAGCAGAGTAATTTCCAGATCAAACATTTCAATGTCTCTAAGTCAAGTTATTTATCCACAACCCAAATATTGAGTCCTATGTACTTATATTGCCTCCCTATAGACTCCACCTATGGCTTAATGTAGTGTTTGTCAGATATAACTTCTGTAGTGATGAAAATGGTCTAAGTTGTTCAAGAAAAAAGCCACCAGCTACAATGATCCACTGAACACTTCTACCACTAAGAAACTTAGTTTTTAATTTTTAATTTTATGTATCTTCAACTTAAATTTAAATAGCTACATGTACTAGCAACCACCGAGTTGGGATAGCACAGGTACAGTATGTTTACTAGCTTAAACTGAAATCAAATTACTTAACTAAAGGTTCTCTCAGGTTGCTCTATGAAATTTTCATTCCCTTGTTAGAATGGTTGTCCCAGACATTATAAACCACAAACAAGCCTCCCTTATCTACTAGATAGGGTCTTAATAGATTTCAAAGAATTTACTAGCAATCATAATTAAAATGGTAAGTGGCTCTATAGAACATTCTTCCTTTAGTGCCAAGTATTGTTCAAACCAATTGACCAAATGTGTGATATGCAACATTTTTACCAGGTAGTTCAATCAAGTTAATCCTCAGAAAACTCTTGAGGTCAACTATGAAATTTTTGTTTGTTTTGGTTTTTCCAGACAGGGTTTCTCTGTGTAGCTTTGGAGCCTATCCTGGCACTTGCTCTGGAGACCAGGTTGGCCTCCAACTCACAAGAGATCCACCTGCCTCTGCCTCCCGAGTGCTGGGATTAAAGGTGGGCGCCACCAATGCCCGGCTCTGCTAAGCAGTTTCTTAATGGTCGTATATATAATAGTGTGAGCAAGTGTATATTGCTTTTTTGTTAGGTGGTGTTAGGGGAGGTTCATTGAAAAGTGGAGATAAGCGGCACTGGAAACATCCAAGTGTGGTTAGTACATTTTACTCCTGTAATCCGGCATATCTTCAAACATTATGAGGTCGTAACCATTGCAACCAGGCTTTTGTGAATACTTTAAAACGTGTTTTCATCATCAGATCCACTAAAAAGGCTTTGAGTGGCGTGCAATTAAACTCAGATATCAACGTGCTCTACGAGTACCTATTAATATTTGTTCATCTACATGTGGAAAACGGGACAAAGGAAATGACAGGCAGAAGTTGTGACCAAGGTCATCGGGGGAAATGAGGTTAGTACTAAAACGTCCTTTCGCGAGGTGAAGACAGGGGGTCCGGACCACCAAGTACGAGGTAGTGAGGAAAATTTGCCTGATGCCCCTCCAAAGAAACTTCAGGAGGAAGAAAACTGTTCTAGCCCCAAGGGTAGATATATTTGGGTTTTTCATGGTAAGCAAAATGTCTACTGTCTTAACACATTAAACCTGAAAGGCATATGCAAAATCTTTCATGCCATAGCCTTCCTCTACTTCTTATAATTCTGGACTGGCGAGTACTACCCTTGATGAAAATGAGTTATTCCTCCTTTCTAAGCTGCCAATAACCCAAATGGCTTCTCTAGCAACCGGATCCCAGAAGCTTTGTGTTCGTCTTGAAAGCCTATCGCTCCCTCCATTCAATGAACAGCGATTTGGGGAGGCCCAATGGAGCCGCCCCTCCAAGGCAGCAGCCACCAACCTGCCAGGGAAAGGCGACGCGTAGACAATCTCCGAGCCAGGAGCATGCCACACCGCACCATGGGGGCCGCCATCTTGAAGCGTACCAAGTGGAACGCCGGCCCGGGGGGGTCACCTCCGCCGGAAGTGGCCCATCTTGAGCGTTCCCCCCTTGCCGGGTCCCGCAGTTGGTGCAGCCCGGGCCGGGACAATATGGCTACGGTATTTCGGCCCCTGGAAAGGTTTTGGGCGCCGCGTCCTTCGTGGCATCCCGGGGTGACAGGCTTAGGCTCTGCCTGCGGCCGCTGCACTCTCAGAGGTACCAGCGGCCTCACCCTGTGGAAGGAGGGAGGGGGAAGAGAAGGAGCGTGAGACCCCAGCGGTGTGTCTGTTTGGAGAAGGCTCGGGCGACCTTTCCCTCTAGCTGCACGTGTATGCAGCCCGGTTTGCAGGAAACCGTGAACGCCCCCACTTGGTGCAAAGGGCAGCAAGGTCCACGTTGCTCTTGGGGACCATTCTTCACTCACTGGGTTTCCTTTTGTGGAAGGATTTGGTGCGGAGTTTAAGAGATGGGAACCCCAGCCGTGCTGCTTACGTGCTAAAAGAGTCGAGACAGGCTTCCTCATCCCCCAAGTTATTCCTTACTGCCTTTCTGAAAATATTAAACGTGAGACTGCTACTGATAGATAATAAAAGTATTTAACGTTCTGGTGTACTTTACATATATGAATTCCTTTCCTTCAGTCGTCATCTAATCGCAGAGGTAGTACATTTACAGAATAGGAAACAGACAAGGTTGTCACTTGACCAAGGAAGGTCACCAGGAGCAAAAGACATGGATGGGTCTGATAGCTTCACAAGATTCCCTTTTCATAAATAGCTATTTTTATTATTACTTTATCTTAGCAGAACTCTGTGCACGATTTTTTGGCTAAGCTTCATTCGTTTTTATCTCGTGCAGAGCCAACGATGTTGAAGAAAGATACAGTCCAGATTTACTAAGCTGTAGTCAGTGATTTCTGATTTTAGGCTACTTGAGTCCAGATCTAAAAGGCCGTCTTCAAATCGGGAGTTACAAAACTGGAAGTCACAATGTAGCTTTTTCCAATAGCCCATGCTTCTTGAACCAAGATAAACCAAACATGTGGTATGTGTATGTATGCAGTTGCTTAACTAGATGGGAAATGACCATTTCTTCTTCGTATCTTATCATGTCAACCAGTCTTCACACTCCATTAATCATTACCTACTTTCAAACGTAAAACTTTTGCCAAGATTTGCAGTCAGTAATAGACTGGAGATGTTTGTTTCCCCACCAACAGTACTAATATTTGTATGTATCTGGATGGACCATTAATTACTATAATAGGTGAGGATGAGTTCATTAGAGGCAACCAAGCTCTAACATGCTATTTACTAGGGAAAAAGCGATAAAAATAAATTCAACTATTTTCTCTTTCTTTTCTCTTTTTTTAGCTAAAAGGTACCTACTCACAGACAGCATTATGAAATTAAAGGAATTCCAACAGAAGAAAGTAGCTACTGCACATAACCTTCCCAGTACCAAAGGTAATGATATTTGTTTTTTTAATTCTTTTTTTAAAGATTTATTTATTTATTATGTATACAGTGTTTTGCCTGCAAATAAACCTTCATGACAGAAGATGGCACCAGATCTCATTATGGATGGTTGTGAGCCACAATGTGGTTGCTGGGAATTGAACTCAAGACCTCAGGAAGAGCCACCAATACTCTTAACCTTTGAGCCATCTTTTCAGCCCCGTTTCTTTAATTCTTTCATCCATTTCTCATTCAAACTTCCTCTCTACCTCTATTCCTCTATTTATTCTTTCAAGACCTATCTCTTAGAGAGAGAGAGAGAGAGAGAGAGAGAGAGAGAGAGAGAGAGAGAGAGAGAGCATTTGCTTAGTTTCCTAGTCTACCTTTCATCTCATACAATGCTACTGAAAGTCTACAACTCTTCTCATAGCCCTGTCCCCCAGGATAATAGGGAAATAGTGAAATTAACCCTGTGGCCAGTTGTCTAAATCTGTGTCACTCAGAGTATGATAGAGGACCAGCATCAGCATCAATTGGGAGATTGATGGAAACACAAATGGAAAGGCAGATAATTTGTATACACTATATAGTTCAAGAATCCAGGTTACTGGCTTTCAAATATTGATTAACTCTTGATGAAACATATACTTTATGATATATTTGTAGGCAAAATAGACCAATGGTTTGATAGTGCACTTTGGCATTTTTACACACACGCACACATATATGTATATAATTTAAATTTTTAAAAATTGTAAAAAGCACTAAAACCATGAGGATACCAGTTCCGTGGACTCCAGTGCCTTTTGCATCTTGGCAGCCCTGCTGCATTCATTCCCTGTGTCCTACATGTGGAATTTTTTTTTTTTTAGAACTCCAAACTCCTTTATAAGCATATTTAAGACTTCCTCTGACTTGGTTGTTTTGGTCTTTAAACAACTTTTTGTTCCTGTTGGCTTGTTATATAAATTTGCTCTTAGAAGACGATGTATGTCTATTATACACACCAACCACTGCCCCCCTCCACTTCCTACCACCCCTTCCAAATCCTCCTCTCACATTCATGCCTGTTTTTTGTTTTGTGACCCACTGCAGTTAATCCTGTAGGCCCAACTCTCCTTCCTCTTGCTGCCAGATACTGTTGAGCTGCAGCCTAACACTTGGTGTCTCCCATCTCTCCCACCCAGTCTCCTCACACTGCTCTGCCAGTCGTGGAATGCCACTGTGGGACTCCGAGATAAGCCTTGGCAGTCAGGGAGAATACTTTTATCTCCAGCTGAGTACATTCAGTATATTTTTAAAGATGTATTTATTTTTATCTTATGCATGTGGGTGTTTTGCCTATGCATCATGTGTGTGCGGTGCTCACAGACAACACGGAAGAGGGTGTTGAACCCTGTAAAAGTGAAGTTACAGATACTTGTTAGCTGCCATATAGATCCTGGGCACTGAACCTGAGTCCTCTGCAAGAACAGTGCTCTTAACTGCTCAGCCTTCTCCAGCCCTCAAACTTTCTTTTTTGTCTTGGGTATTTTTGAGCTATGTGAGGTTTGCAGTTAGGAAGGACTCCCTGCTGTGGCCTGTTTGTTATGTCTACTTGTGGTCTTCATAAAGCTGTGACTGCTTTGAACATATTCTGAAATGCAATCTTAAAAGTCAGTGTCTGTCTACCCCATTGTCAGACTGATATTTATATAATCCTCACACCATTTCAGCATTTTTAGGAACCCACAATGGCATCCTTTTACATACCACATTTTGTTCATGTTTTTCCATAACAGTTCAGTGATAATCCTCAACTTCCATGAAACTTCATCAGTCCAGACGCCAAAGTTAGGCCCTTCTTACTGTGTCTGTACCCTTCAGATGTTTTTTTTTTATAGCAGTAGCTTGTCTTGCTGGGTAGACTTTAAGCTCTGTGGAAGGAGCCATAACTTTGCGTGAGAAACACATTGCTCTGATGGTGATTATCTGGTAAATACTTGAAAGTCAAACTATTTAAGTCCTAATTTACATTTCTTAATGTTTTAGATTCACTGGGCTTTTTAATGATTAAGTGGTGCATAATGCAGATTCATTGCTTTTGAAATCTTTTAGATGAGCAATTACTTAGAAATCTCTAAAACTGAGTTGTTTAGGTTAAACAGGCGTAAGATGAAAATGAGGTTGCCAACGCCATTACTTACTCAGAGGGGAGCCATGACATGAAATGTTCCCTCGGTGCCTCTGTGCCATGAACTATGGCTGAGTTTCTTCTCCCTGAGGTCAGCCTCCTTGCAGTCCCAAGCATCCTGAGTCATTGCCACCACCTTGTGCTTCCTTTCAGCCATCTATTTCAGAAGCTTGGAGGAGAAATTGACCCAAAATAAACTCATCTTGAAGGAAGAGTTGAAAACATTGCTTCACTTGTGTCAGTCTCGGGAAGATGTGGAACTGGCAAAAAGTGTCATTTACAGGTGAGGGGTTTCCTGAGAACCCTGCCAGCCTTCATCTCTTCTCACTCTGCCCTTCCCAGAGCACACTGTCACCTCTTCGATGACATATCTTACCCTAATGCTTGCCTTCAACCTCGGACATTGATACTTATTGGAGGACCAAGTGTAGGAAAGCAACTCATAAACTACCAACAGAGTATCCAGTCCCTCCAGTAACATATCCTGATATATGAGATGCTAGGGGAACCTTGGCAGATCCCATGGCGGGTGAGGGACAAATATGCTATGCCGACAGAACAGAACTTACATGGGAAGGAAGTTTTATTGGAGGAAGGGAAGGGAGTGGGGGAAAGGAAGAAAGAGAGGGAGAGACAGAGAGACAGACAGACAGAAACCTGTCTGCCTCGTCGGAGAAATGGGACCTTTTGCACAGAGACAGGGTGACACACTCTGTCAGATCCCCAGTACGTGAGGCCAGGTTTGCCTGGTTGATAACAGTGTGGTAACTCCAACCATGAAATTACTTTTGTTTCTACTTCATAACTATATTGTGCTACTGTTACGAATACCATGGGCTGGGCCCTCCCCCATTGGTCACTAATTGAGAAAATTCCTTACAGCTGGATCTCATGGAGGCGTTTCCTCTCTGATGACTGTAGTGTGTGTCGTCAAATGGACACACAAAACCTGCAGTGCAACATCCGCCATAAATTAGGTCTTTTAATCAACCACGCCTGTTAGTAGACACATTACTTCTAGGTTTTCCTTAGCACAGCTAATGTCGTGGCGAGTTGCTCTAGAAAACTTAGCTATTTTTTGTTTGTGTTTTGGGTCAAAGAGTATATTAGTCATTTTTTTTTATGACTATAAAAAAGTGGCTGGGATTACCTGCATATGAAAAAGGTGATTTGTTTGATTCACAGTTTCGGACATGCTAGGGCATGGCACTGGCATCAGCTCAGTTCTAGTGAAGACCTTTGGCTGTGTCACACTGCTGGTCAGTTCCGGTAAAAAACAATCATGTTTCAATATAGGAAGCCATGAAGCTGGGTGGGCCCAGACTCAGGCTTTTATAGTAACTCCTCTAGAACTTAAGGTGGGGGGGGGGTCACATGAGAAATACCTAATCCTTTTTGAGAGCAATATCCTCAGTTGGTCTAAG